AAGGAATGCCTCGTAATCTGACTCGTTGTTCGATCCGTATAGTCCTGAATGCCAGACCGGGCCCCGATTCGCTCGAATGTCAAGTAGATGAGAGCGTCTCGCTCATCGATTCGATTTCGCTATCAGCCAACAAAGAGCTAATTAATATCCCAATTCCTACCCGGGCAAGTATTGTTGAGTAAACTCTGTTCGGGTAGAGGGTCCATCCGTGACCTAGGGCAGCGGTACGCAAACTTTTCAGGTCGCGCCCCCTTTTCATCTATGAATTCGATCGCGCTCCCTATTCTCCCTCCCCCTACACCGTTTCCGTTTCATCAGAAACTGACTGTAATTTTGGGTGAGTTGATATGAGAGAGGAAACACGAATAAATGCTTTTTGTAGCATAACGTTAACATTATTAAACTCAGTTTTTGAGAATCCCACAATTCCACATCCTTTCCCCGCCCGGACGGATTGTATTGTCCTATACTCGTTTCAATCCGATGAAACATTTCCCCCTTCAAAAATGTTGCCAATACATCGCTATGGTTGGAAAAACGATCGCAGCCTTCTACTATCGATAGCGGTACCGATACATTGACTTGTCGTGGAAGCCCTACTATATAGTTTTTAATATAAAACAACAGTCCTGCCCAGTTTCTCGTAATTTTCTTTTGCCGTTTGATTTAAGTTGAGCAAGTGTTAGGTTTTTCCTTGAAACTTCTTAGATTTGCAGTGCTTTTCTTCACTTTTACCCTTTCTATTTAATTTTAAATCCTAAAAATTCCTAACTCCAGGAAAAAGGTAGAGTAAAGGCCAAAGTTTGTGCCTCAACAGATTGCCCGATACCAGAAACGGGGAGGCAATAAGGCACAGCTTCTCATCTGTTTCCCGTTGGAGTCTTTCCTTAGAGCCGTCGGCCAATCAAAGGTAGATTATTTTAGTCTGGACATCGAGGGATTGGATTACAGTGTCCTCAGCATCATCCCCTGGGACATTCTAGACATCCAGGTAAGGAAATAGACACATATTAGGAAAATGTTGCCATTTTCCTCACTTCGTGCAATTCATGACGATATCTCTTTCTTCTTCGAACGAAGGTCCTGATGGTGGAAACCAACAAGGGAACGAGGAATAAGATCTTGAAGCTAATGGCTGATAAGAAATATCAACATGTGAAGAAGATAGGTGTTGATGACATTTTTGAGAAACCCCGTAAATGATATCATTCTTTATGTTCTTTGTGATCCTATTTCAAGTCAGGCCCGTTGGCCCCTCAGTTTCAATATTTATTTGTTCTCTTGTCAATTTTTAAAGAGTGCTTCATGGATACACGAATATTTTCCTTGCAGTTTGATGTTCGTATCGAGTCTTTCTTTTTGTGTACGTTATGCAATTTGACTATTTTTCAGTAATCTCCAACATTAAACCTAAATAAGCATGAAATGAGACGCTGATTAGACGGACAGTAGGAACTTATCCTCAAAATTCAAGACAGTGGAATTTAGAAATTGAAACCTGGAGAGTGATCTCAGCGGAAAGGAACTTGAACTCTCGGAAGAGATTGGCAAGCGGCAAGATATAAACGACCAACCATTGACCGAGAGGAAATGCACCAGATGAGGAAGTGTCTCAGACACTACTGAACAAGAATCGATTCGAGTTGAACCAGGCGTGAGTGGAGATGTCCATTTCCACCCGGCAGGCCGTCAGATTGCGCGAATGGCAGAGGGGCGAATGAGTCACTCTGATTCGCCGCAAGTAAGACTCCTCAGTCGAGGTATTGCAGCTTTTTTTTAAATCTATTCTCTGGGCATGGTAAATTAAGATATCTACATCGCTTTTACTTCCAATCATTTTCGCGGGAGACATCGAAACTATTTCTCGCAATTAGAAAGGACGCAATCCATATACGTCACTTTAATGTGTCGTCTTTGAAATCCCCCAGTTGCGGCGGTTCTTTGGGATAAGGGAAAAATGTTGCGTGCTCTAAAATATGCTTTTCAAAAGTTATTCTTCTATGTTTTGTTTACACCCCCAATGGAAGAAAGTTGTTATATTCTTCGGGTGACTGTTTCAAGCCCACAGAGAAGACTCACATATTTTTTTCCTTAAAACGCACAAAGATAAATAAGCAAAACCGGATGTCTTGACACATTGACACCCAGATGTATGAAGTGCGCACAATCCCTGGAGCCCAGCCATTTGTCACAAATTACAAAACTTTACAAAAAAATTTTATTTCTGAAACTAAACTATTAATACATACAATTAAAAAATTTAAACACTATTTTGTTCAGAAATGTCAAGAGAACCAACCAAGATTTTTGGTGGGGGATGCCTGATGCCCTTTGCCGATTGGTGCTTAGTTTCAATGCGTTTCTTGTTCTTCAAACACACTTTGCACCTTCTTGCTAGAAACTTTTTTTGGTGTTGGTGGGATTGGCACCAATGAATCCTCTTTGATATTGTTTAACAGTGTGGACAACGGATGATGCAGCTCTGTGGTACTTAGAACACGACAAAACTTATGGTCACACTACTGGTTGTTTGTATCGATAATTAAAAAATAAAAAGTGAGCTTCGTCAAAACGTAATATTACGGTTCCGAGCGTCAATGTGTTAATAGAGGAGGTGATTACGATTGAGAGAAGTTGCGGAAGTACATATTGATTCAAGGCAATAGGGTACGAATACTCAAACGGCATTTGAACCTATTGTGTGAATATCATAGGCTTTTAGGCTAAGAAGCTTTATCTACCGACGATACATTTTGCACCATCAATACAAGAAATAAATTAGAAACATCTATGGAACTGGACTCGAAAAATAGAGGAAGCGATCACATTAGAAACCCTGAAAGACGCACGAGCTACTCGAACTGGCCGGAGGGAAGATGATAGGGCTAATAGGTCGTAAACTCTCACTGGGCTTGCGTGTGAATCCCTCAACAGTGAATGCACCGCCCCCGAGGGTATAAGAGGGGCTTTCTTCAACGTAATGAGGTAGAAGACGGAGGTTGACCTATGGCAAGGCCACTCTACTAGCCCCCCTCCCCCTTTTCTTCCGCATTCTTGACTCGGCTTTGGCGCATTTTGGTTTTGCACACGCCTTCCAGGCGACCTGACACGATTAGGAAGAGACTAATTCGAATCGAAATTCCAGTCGATGCCATCTCCTCTTGAAAAACATTAGTCGAAATGCAAAAATTGACATGTGTATCCTTTACATTCGCACTGATTTCTCCTAGTGTACGAATTGGCTCATCTCCCCACTCCACGTTGATTCAACATTCCCAACTCGCGAATGGAAGTCCCCCATTTGGTAGGCAAAATAGTTGTGCAGGATCCTACACAACTCTTCAAGGAATGCCTCGTAATCTGACTCGTTGTTCGATCCGTATAGTCCTGAATGCCAGACCGGGCCCCGATTCGCTCGAATGTCAAGTAGATGAGAGCGTCTCGCTCATCGATTCGATTTCGCTATCAGCGAACAAAGAGCTAATTAATATCCCAATTCCTACCCGGGCAAGTATTGTTGAGTAAACTCTGTTCGGGTAGAGGGTCCATCCGTGACCTAGGGCAGCGGTACGCAAACTTTTCAGGTCGCGCCCCCTTTTCATCTATGAATTCGATCGCGCTCCCTATTCTCCCTCCCCCTACACCGTTTCCGTTTCATCAGAAACTGACTGTAATTTTGGGTGAGTTGATATGAGAGAGGAAACACGAATAAATGCTTTTTGTAGCATAACGTTAACATTATTAAACTCAGTTTTTGAGAATCCCACAATTCCACATCCTTTCCCCGCCCGGACGGATTGTATTGTCCTATACTCGTTTCAATCCGATGAAACATTTCCCCCTTCAAAAATGTTGCCAATACATCGCTATGGTTGGAAAAACGATCGCAGCCTTCTACTATCGATAGCGGTACCGATACATTGACTTGTCGTGGAAGCCCTACTATATAGTTTTTAATATAAAACAACAGTCCTGCCCAGTTTCTCGTAATTTTCTTTTGCCGTTTGATTTAAGTTGAGCAAGTGTTAGGTTTTTCCTTGAAACTTCTTAGATTTGCAGTGCTTTTCTTCACTTTTACCCTTTCTATTTAATTTTAAATCCTAAAAATTCCTAACTCCAGGAAAAAGGTAGAGTAAAGGCCAAAGTTTGTGCCTCAACAGATTGCCCGATACCAGTAGCCAACTCGTCACTAGTCACTAGTCAATTGAGAGGCGTAGGTGAGGAGACTGGTAAATTGAGATATTAAACGACAAAAATGAGGGTTTTTTAGAGAGTGAATTATAACCCCCTGACTTCCTTGTCTCGCACCTAAAATCACTTCATACTAATTCCGTCACACTGGGAGAGTAGTATGCAAGACAGAAACAGATGAATAAAAGCGAATGTGGAGCGTGCGGAGGGGGGGCTTGGTAAGGTGCGGACAGCGTGGCGGAAGCGCCAGGTGTTTCGTTTCTTCAATTTTCGCGATCGAGATAAGAGATAACTGGCCCTGGATCAAGGCGTGCGGTGTGAAAAAAAAGCAGATGTTGCTTGATATTCTCCAGTCGAGAATCCTATTTATGTGCCTGTGCGTGTCTTTTGTACATTTTTGGAAACGAAGACCATTCGCCAGACTCTCTAATAATATTTCCCAACTGTGTATGTAACGTAAACTAATTAATGAGCAGCAAGAATTGTCCATGAGTCACGACATAAGTCGATACTCTTGACTGTGATCACCCGATCCAGGCAAGACTATGAGCGCGAAACCGTACAGGGTTTCACTTGTGGTCATCCTGTGCTTGGGTATTGCCATCTGTTTCCTCATCATCAAGTATTACACGAGTCAGACGAAGTTGGTAGACGGAGATTCGCTCTTCAAAACTCGGTATCTCTCCTTCCAGGACCGATTGCCATCATTATTAGGTGCGAATCCCGAACTACCCCGCAAATAAACGAATAGATATCAAAACATGTTGTTTGAGATTCATGCGCCAGGCAACCGCTTGGGTGTTTCCCAGAAGAATCTTTTATCTAATTGTGCTTAAGGAGAAGCTGTAAAGACAGGATCTCTTAGGAAACTTCTATGGATCTTAATCTTAATTCTTCCCCTCGTATCAGTTGAAGACGGTGAGACGGTGAAACCCCTACCGCGTCACATCGGTTGGGCAAAAAATCCAGGAAAATTCTCAACAATACACTGCACTTCACTCACTACATGTATTTTAATGCTGTTTGCGGCAGTGCACAGAGGAGTAAATATGTTTTAAAATGGCGTGCTTACATTTCAAATATCTTCAACAATTCCAGAAAGTGGGAGGCGCATATGGACTGCAAACAAAATACTGCGTTGCTGCGCAATCAGACGCGGAGGGCATGTGACCCTCCGCCGCCGCCTGTCCATCCTTGCCCCGCCCCGTGGCAACTTCGTTTTTGCCTGGTGCTTACATGAGGACCCGAATTTATAAGACCTTTGAACATGTTTGAAATGTGAGTACACCGTTTTATACCCAATTCATTCTTCTTTCAAATGCAGTAATCCGTATCAAAATATAAGCTCTGAGTGCGGTAGAATTTATCATTGGAAACTGGTTTCCTTGGCAAGCTGTGGCAAGCTTAGATGCTACAAGGTCATCTGACTTCCCAAGTATTTTGATATTTTTAATCATGGTCAATTTTTAACCCAGAATTTATTAAATGAAGATTAATTTCCGCTCACATTCTACCAGCAGAGGATCCATACGTATATGAGTATCTTTCGCAACATGTACACCAAGAAAACTAAGGAATATGGCACGGGACTCCATTTCCCATCCAAATTCACAGGAATTCATGCAAATACTGGCGTGATTCGAGAATACTTTTCGTCCCTATCTGTGCCAACAATTTGGTAACCTCATGACCATGATTAAGTTACCGCGAGTATATTATTTAACATAGTGACGAGGAAATGGGACGACGAAGAGCTGAACCTGAGGGTCTGGGAGAAAGGAGAACGGATTTCGGTGAATGATCCCCGCCTGCTGCAATACATCAGGGACCAGGTTCTCATTCCACCTCTTTCCAGGGATGTGCCCTACAAGCTCGCAGACCCGAGGAAACAGCACTTCTCGCAGTCTCAGGAGCAGATAATTTTCCTAAATGAATCCTTTGGCGACTCGGTCAGTCACCTTTTATATGACAACTTACAACCCAGTGCAATTTCTAATGGGCCACGACTCCTCATAGAACGGAGGATTCTTCATCGAAGCAGGAGCGTATGATGGCGAAACCTTTTCCAATACACTTTGGCTCGAAAGGGAGAGAAATTGGACCGGTCTTCTTATCGAACCAGATTCTGCAAATGTCGACACTTTGAGGGGGAAGCAGAGGAAGTCATGGTTGGCTCATTCGTGTCTAAGTCCTGTTCCTTATCCTGAAATGGTCAGTGTTGGAAAAATACCAATCTTGCTCCTAATACTTTTCATTTATTTCTTCATTCTTTGCTCATCAAGATGACTTTATTTGGAGGGAAAGCAGTTGGAGAGATGATACCTGGAAAACAGGGAAACAATGAGGTACGGAATCTCGTCTGTTTCCCGTTGGAGTCACTCCTCGGAGCCATCGGTCAACATAATGTAGACTTCTTCAGTTTGGACATTGAGGGACTGGATTACGATGTCCTCAGCAACATTCCTTGGGATATACTAAATATTCAAGTAAGAAATCTCACCCTCCTTTTTACTCTCACCAAACATCCATAATAATTTCTCTCGTAGAGTATAATAAGTATAGACCATTATTTTTCCATACTCCTTCTCATGTAACTGATTAATCTTCATCTATCCCTTTTAATCCTGCCGAAGCTCCTGATGGTGGAAACCAACAAAGGAACAAGAGAGGAGATCCTTTATTTAATGGCTGATAAGAAATATCGACACGTGAAGAAGATATACGTCGATGACATTTTCGAGAAATCTTATCACTATTAGACTCCATGAAATCATGAGTTGAACCATGAAAACGAGATGAGTTAGGATTGTGTTCAAGAACTACGAGAATAATCAAGTTCTTTTCGTCAAGAGAAGTGTTACAATAAATAAATATAACCTTGGGAATAGGAACGGGAGCACACCTCTCCTTACTCACGCCTTTAGCTGACACGACCGATGCCACTAGCGGGAAACATAGAAAGGAACTGACCTCTTTGGAAGGGAGAGTGAAACATATCCCCTTCCCCCGCCCTCCTTCCAGCCACACCCACTCACTTTCCCTCAAGACTAGGCCACTTGTGGAAAGTACTGCTCAGAGGAGGGAATCGTTATCTTCATGAAACCACTTTATCTCACCTGCAACAGGCAACTATTTTTTCCGTCTGTTGGCAAACATACTCTAGTCTGTCCTAGTGAAGAGAGATGAGACATGTGTTGCATGAGTGGGAAGTCTTCGCCAGCCCACAAGTGAGCCACAGCCACCACAATAACATCGCTTTTTTGGATGGGATTTATGCATCCCTACGACGTGTGGCAGTGCGAGTGCATTATTCATAGTCAGATATTCTCTCTGGTGGAGGAATTCAACCATCTGCGTAGATAAGAGTACCGCCTTTGTTAGTTGCTAGAGATATTCTAAGCACTCACCTACTCAGGTAATTGATATGCAATGGTTCCACACTGTAGCGTGCATTAACTTGGTGGTGTTTAGGGAAGGGATATACTAGAGTGGGTTCATTGTGTACTTGCAAGTTCTCCTCAAGTTGGAGACAAGTTACTCCAAAAATCTGCAAGTTACAAGTCCTTACTCGTCGAAAACTTGAATTAACAAATGTCCTATGCTCAAATGCATCACTAATGCATTACGTTTTTCATAGACGCTCGTTGAACGTCTTCCTTCAGGCAATTTCCATGAACATATCTGTGCTATCCATATGACAGCGGCTACAACCAAAGGTTCACACAACTGGCCCCAATTGACGCCAAAGTGGCCGCTATAGCGAGCTGGTTACTGATGGAACTGGAATTAGTCCCCTCCACTTTCCCTGCCGTGCCCGATCTTTCCTGACAGACGCCACAGGGGAATACATATGAAATTTATAACAAATCAGTCTTGCGAGGCTAATCCAATCCAAGGAGTCTCTGGAAAACTTTGGCTTGGAGGATGGGGGAAAAATGGCTGTTTTTAATATGACTTTATGAGTAATATATATATGGGACGAATGGAAACCCTTTCCAGTGAGTATCCATAAGGACGACACCTCTATCTACTTCAATACTTCATAAAAGCTAGGAGATTGAGAAGTAGATGTGAGTAGAGGCCGTGTCTCCTCCTTGACGAGTAGAAGATTATATATGTCATATCTGCTAGCCCTGTGACTGACTGACTGACTGACTGACGATGATTCTAACCCTGTTCTAGAAGGGTTAGAAATCTTAAACTTGGTACACGTGTACCTTTTGGGATGCAGGGTTCAGGAAAATCCCACTTTGGAGGTATATGCCCTGGGGTTACACATTTTGGGGGGAAACGTTTTTATTAAATATATTTTGTGACAGATGAGGATGGCATTCATAGAATCAACTGGATGTGTTGGGTTCAGCGGTTAATAGTAGCATGTCTGACTAGCAAACAGAAGGTCCGGGTTTAATTCCCGTCCATTCCTTGACTTACTTTTGGCTTTTTTACTGAAGGTACAGGACAATGAGTAAGGGTGAGGTATCGTAATAAAAAAGAACTCATTTTGCCTCTCTGTACCTTTCGACTTTGGACCGAACCTCCACGGATGGCTCTGCTACTCAAGTCCTTTTTACAAAAATTTTAGATCCATGCCCTGGTGGCATATTTTTGTGAGCCAACGTTTTCAAGTATTTTTTTTGTCCTGGCGTATTGAGCTAGTGTGGAAAGATGAAACTTGGCACATAATTACCCATTAGGATGCTGCACACAGAAAAATTCAAACTTTGGAAGTAAATGCCCTGGAGGCACAAATTTCAAAGGAATATGTATTCAACTAATTTTTTTGCATCAGTTAAACTGATGAACATGGAAAACTGAAACTTTGCATGAATGAAACAACTGAGACAAGGAGTTAAATAAAAAATGTTAAGTCTTCATACATCACATGGGGAAATTTTGTCGAGGTGCGATGTTTTGGAAAAAAAATTGTCGGGGCGAATTGGATAGAAATGGAAAGGTGAAACTTATCACAGGTATGAGTGACATGATATTACTGAGCTGAGGGATTATTCAGCTTTCATGGTGCATCCTCTCCGGGCATAGCGTTTGGGTGGGTCGGCTTTTCCAAACATGTTTCCTCACCAGCGAAATGGGCAAGCACATAATATTGCAACGTTGTGGGCATGTAGTTCACTAAGGATGGATTTCAGTAAGAAAAAAAAGGTACATTTCTGTTAAAACGGCTCAAGGCACATATTTTGCAAAAGGCGTATTTTCACGAACTTTCTGATCCAGCAAAACAGAGGGCGTATGAAAGTTAGAAAACTTGGCAAATAAGTACATGATGGATAGCTGCGTAAAGAAAAAAATCTACTTTTCTAATATCATATATATAGACGATCGTGAATGACTGACACTAATCCAAAAAGATGAAACGTATAAGGCTGAAACTGGATGGCATGGAGTTCCCTGAGTCTCCATTTTAGAAGAAAAATTTTTTTCGCTGAAACCCTTCAGTGCTCTTTTTTTAAAGTCCCACTTTCCTGAATTTTTTTTTTGATCCAACGAAACGGAGACAGAAAATTTAAACTTCCCTTAGAAGTACCTGTTTGATTGCTGAGTACAGGAAAAATTCTACATTTGAAATGTATCCCCTTAGCGTAGTGCATAGGAGGGAGGTATTTCAACATGTATTCTCCACACTTACTAAAAGGGACACAAGAAAAGATTTAAAGTTAGGCACATATAGAATCATAGAAGTAAAGAGTTTGATAAAAATCAAGACTTTCGACCCCAAATGTCACGTATTTCAATGGGGACGTACTTCAAATTCGTGTTTGTCATTTAGCAAAATATTCTCAAACCTTGGAGCTGCCTGCAGTATACCTCCGCTGTTATGGTTTCATTGGGCTGCAACAGTTCAAAATAAACAACGCCAAGAATATCCCACCAAACGCACAACAAAACCTTCCTGGGGTGAAGACCTCTTTTTGCCTGTGGTACAGCAGGCTCCCCGGCACTAGCCCACTGTCGACGACGCTTAACATTGTGATAAAGCACCCATTTTCCATCCCCAGTAATAAGTCGATTCAAAAACGGCGCTTGAAGTGCACGAGAGTGTAGGGAAGAGCAAATGCTTACTCGATCCCTAAGATTGTCTGGTGACAACACATGTGGAACCCACTTTCCAAGTTTTGACACTTTTCCTAGCCGTCGCAAGTGGCGGTGAACGGTGGAATGGGTGGAATTGAGCTTCTGAGCAAGTTCTTCAGCAGTTACAGCAGGATCTTCATCAAGTGTAGCCACCAGCAGTTCATCATCAAACTCGATAAGTCGGCCTGAACGTGCTTCATCAGTTAAGCTGTTGTCACCAGACCTGAATTTCTGGAACCACCTTTGGCATTTCCTCGTATACAGAGCTTCCTCACCATAAACATTTTGAATGTTTTTCGTGGCTGCTGTCACGTTATTCCCTTTCTTAAATTCATCAAGCATTATATGCCTAATCGGTTTTTCTGACACCTCCATCTTGCCTTTAGTGTCCAAGAAAAACGGAGCACTGTTAAATCGTGAAAACCTGCACGTATATTGACGACTAACCCCTTCACAAGTTAGCATAGAAATATTCCATGGGATGTTCGCAGATACATGTGTAAAGAAGACACAAGTAAGACCATGCCAGAAAACGACATTAGTTATGGGATGACCTGATAATATAATATCATGTCTCTTAATATAATGTGACTTATTCGTGTCCCAAGTTTCACCTTTCCATTTCTGTCCAATTCGCCAAGACAAATTTTTTTTCTTCAAAACATTGCCCCTCGAAAAAATTCCCCCAGGGGATGTATCGAGACTTCACATTTTTATTTAACTCCTTGTCTCAGTAGTCACATTCATGCGAAGTTTCAGCTTTCCATATTCATTAGTTTAACTGATGCAAA